TTCTGTGTTAGTGTCCTCTGTACTTTTTACGGATGGGGTTGGGTTCTGAGGTTGCATTTTGTTCCTTCTCGTCATTTTGTGTAGCACTGCCTTCTGACCTTTGTTGTAGATCTTCGTTGTAGTCATAACCTTAGCACATACTGAAGTTCAGGTGCAGATCTACAAAGTTTGGATCTATCCAGCTGTGCCTGGCTTGGGTCTGGCTGCTGTGCTCAGCTCCTTCCTGCTGCTGCCCTTCAGAGTGAACCTGTTGTGACCCTGTGGCAGGATGTTCTGCTCCTGGACTAGCTGGGTGGTTCTATCCTCTACACTCTCTGCAGGGATTGTAGCTGCAGGGTTACACCCCAGGCATGTATGCCAGGCCTGACCTGAGCCTGGAGGAGACAAGGTGGAGTAGGGGGGAGAGGCAGCTCTCCTACACACTCACTATGTCTGGGCTAGGACTGGGTCTGGGTGTTCATGGAATGCAGCAGAAATTCCTACTGGTGGGTGGGGTGGGGGAAGTGCTGTGGAGTGATGTGGGGCGTCCCAAGGGGGTGGAAGACGGTCTCACCCATGCTGTGCCTGGGCTGGGACCAGTAGTTGGTCCCGCCGGTGCAGGGTAGCCAGAAGCTCTCCCACACATTCACCGGACCTGGGCTAGGACTCAAAAAAGATCATTTTGTTATCAGGTCAACTGTCATGATAGTGCAGTGCTCATCTTCAGTAAATCTTATTTTACATGAAAAACATAAAGATTTAAGCCATTAAATTATCTAGGCATGCAGAGTAATTATTAATTAAGATTTATTCAATTTATTGCTACTTACATCTTAATTTTACATGAGAATTAAAATGTGAGAACAGGTTGACATGGCTGTGTCACATGTTTTTGCCGTGTTACAGACCACAAGGGAGGACGCAATGTTCTCATGAAGGTAGTTGTGAGTTAGAACCCTAACCCCCCTTTCTGCTACTTTCAGCTTGTCCTGTGTCTTATGTACCTACCCACTTCCATTTCCTGAGCTTTTTAACTCGGTGCCTGGAGGGAGATGGGAGATTCAGTGGTTCCACCTCCTCCTGTGCTTAGAGGAGTCTGCTGTGCAGCCAA